CTGCGGAGCGCCGAGCCGAGCCGAGCCGAGCGGCCATCGAAGCTTCCCGGGCCCGGGCCGCCTGGGGCCTCGGCAATGGACCTAATCAAGCGGGCTTTTCGGGTCGCGTAAGGCAAAGGGCAGCAGTTTTTAAGACTCGGGGAGGCGGAGAGGTTTAGGCGGGGCTTTCTCTTCTGCTTTTCGCACCCAGGCAAAGAAAGGCGTCTGAATGCTGATGTCTGTCTGCTTCAGATAAAGGAAAGAACAGGGTCAAGAGCCAAACCCTTTCTTTCCTACGGCTGCCTTTGGCTTTTCGTTTTACCGGCGGTTGCGCATCTATGCCTCGGCGTTTTCCCCTTCCTTTCCTCCCGCGCTCTCTCTCTTTTTTCTTTCCTCTCCTCCCCACTTTTCCTCTTCAGGATGGGTCGGGTGCACCATCGCCCTGGCTGAGGTAGTAGTTTGTGCTGTTGGTCGGGTTGTGACATTGCCCGCTGTGGAGATAACTGCGCAAGCTACTGCCTTGCTAGTGCTGGTGATGATCGGCTGCAAATGAAGACAATGACAATGGGAATCCCCTTTGTTTTCCCAGGGATTACATACAGAAGGGGCAACACAACAAGGAGGCTTGCCTGGTTTGCTGAGATTCTTACGCTTCTTACTGATGCAGACTTTATTTAATGAGCCAGACTTCAAATGACTTAAAATTTTGAGTCTTTGGGGTATTTAGTTCCTTTCACAACATATTCTTGATTCCCATTATTAAATAGATGTGTTTTACATGTTATGTTGGTTTTGTGTGTTGCATTTCTTAGTGACATCCTGATAAATGCTGCTGTATTCAAATTATTTAACTAAAGAACATTCTTGCATGTTGATCAACTTGTCTACAGAAATCCAGAATTTGTTATATATCTTTCATGTACCCAATAGATACGACAGTATCTCACCGGACAACTCTCTTTAATTTTTAGAAGTATATTTATGTACTACCAGGAACATTCAGATATACTGCTGTACTGTGATGCAAGTGAATTGAGTTTATGAGGCTCAGATGATGGCTTTGGGACACGCGTGATAATTGCCATTTAAAGTTTGAGCACAGAGGGCACATTCATGAACATTTTAAAATAGTAAAGTGACTTTAATAAATGTCAGCTATCTCTGGACTATATTTTTGCATCATAGGTCTTTTTAACTATACTTCAGGATGAAATCTTATTAAAATAAAAATACAGTGCTTTCACTCTTAAATATTGCAGGCTCAGTATAGGTGTCTTGCTAATAAGAGGTACTATAAATTAGTGTTCAGGTTTTTAACTACTTGATCTTATTTTTCAGAGTAACACTAAATATTACATCCTAAGTATAGAAGTTCTGTTTCATGTAGTCCCTTACATCTTTCCCAAAGGCATAGGATAAAATATTAAATATTAAGAATTAGAATAAAAGGATTATGATGAAACAGTTAGAAGTATACAAATAAAATGATAGTTCAAAGTGTAACTCTTGTTGTTTAATGGTTAAGGGGGTGCTAGTTTTTTAAAATTCATTTTTAGAACTATTTGATAAATTTAGAATTTGTCTTTACGTATTCCAGATGCTGGGTTTCAGAACATCTAAGTTAAGAATTGTCAGATGATCTGTAAATATGATGTAAGGAAAAACTAACTGTACCTGGGGCATTAGTGGAGAAAAATCTAGTTTGTGACAGCCTTAATTTTTCCCTTTTTTGCCACATACTGTAGTAGCAAAAGCCTTAATGGTACATTTGAAGACAATATCCCTTTGTTCAGAAATACAAAGAAATTGACTACTTGATTCAAAATAAGTTTTCTTAGCAGGAAAGTCCAACATATTCTGGCAGATAATATTTTAGTTTTGTCAGTTTTGTTAGAAAGACATAGAAGTTGACCAGAAACATGAAGAAAGAAGGTGTGTTTCTGAACATGTAGAGATTTAGTAAATACAAACATGTTCAAAATTATAATTCGGAGCACTAATTTTAGCAGGTTGTATCAACTTGAATGGCATTCAGGTTGTTAGAGGCAAAGTATACCTCCACAATTGGTCCCCCACTAAAGATATTTGAATTAATGGATCAGTGGGTCTGCTCTAGCTGGGATCATAATTAAATGTGGTGCAAATCTATGCATTTTTCCCTAGGCAAGTTCAAATTGTGTCATTGCTTTGCAGTTTAAGGCAGAATACATAACTTTATTGCTGATTGTCTTTTAATTGAAGAAAAACTGAAGTTTATGCTTTATTAGCAATGCTTCCATTCATCTCATTTGGTGGTGGCTACATTATCTTATTTGTCACATAGTAGCAAAAGATGAGATGGTTGGAAAGTGTCATCAAAGCTACTAACATGAATTTGACCCAACTCCAGGAGGCAGTGGAAGACAGGAGGGCCTGGCGTGCTCTGTTCCATGGGGTCATGAAGAGTCGGACACGACTAAATGACTAAACAACATCTTATTATTTATGTATTTAAAATATTTTTACTCCACCTTTATCCTTGAAAAGGACCCAAGGTGGCTTACAACATTGTAAGTTGAAACCAATGAGTATACAAATGGTGTCTGGAAGTTGAGTCATGACAACTAGACTTATTAGGTTGAAATGTTTCACCACTCATCCAGGTAGCTTCTTCAGCAGCAAAACGTTTCAGCCTAATAAGAAAGAAGTCCAGTTGCCATGACTCAACTTCCAGATAACTTCACATAGATGACTGAGAATCTTCACAGATACACAAATGATGTTAACTTCATTAAAGACACTATTAAAGCTAAGAACAGTGAGTATAAAGAGGCATCCTACATCATTAGATGACAGTGTTAGAATATTCTGTTAGAATATAGAATATTTCTGAGGTCATTTAGCCAAAGCAGAATGTTGCAGTTCATCTTCCAATCATAGGAAACCACTAGCAACATATACTGCTGGTTCAAGATCAGAGCTGGTTTATTATAGCCTAGACATAAATCAAGATGAGATCTCACTCTTAAAAGCCCCTTCTCCCATCTTTATACCTATATACTGTATCTTCAGACTCCTGTTTCATTTCAACCATTATGGCAGGGCATAGCTTAGTGGGGTTTGGTTTGGACTTAAAGATGTAAAACACACTTTTATTAATACTTGTGTTCTCATGCCGAGGGCTGTAGCTCAGAATGAAGAATAGTTGTCCAGCAATTATTAAAATTAAGTAGTAAGTTCTACAAGACCCCATCCTTCAAGAAGTGATAAAAAGTTTGATTGGTATGGCATGCTGTAATTAAGTTGTACAAGCAAAGATGTGATTTAGTTTGACTGATTATCCAGACTATTACTACAATGACAGGCCCTGGGATCTTGCTATAGTATATATTTTTAAAATCATTAAGATGCCAGAATTTCTGTACAAATTAAAGTATGCCATTTGGCTTGTAAAGAATTGGCATGTTCCCCTTCCTCAGTTTTCAAATGAATTACTGTGAAATAAGTATCTAAAGTACTGGTTTAGCTTCAATTTTGGGAGGCTATTTTGGTCACATAGACACTAAATTATTTCCTTTAAATGGCTTAATACGTGACATGCCCACCTACGGGCCCAACACACCCGCAAACGCAGGGATGCCCCCGCTTCCCCGCACACCCCAAACAGTCCGTGGTCCCAAAAAGGTTAGGGACCGCTACTGTAAACCTGTGATTCCTAATATTGGGTCCCCAGTTATTCTTGGACTAAAACTCCCAGAAGCCCTTTCCACTACCTAGATGCCACTGTGCTGCCCAGAATTTCTGGGAGTTTTAGTCCAAGAATATCTGGGGACCCAGGGTAGGGAACCAGTGCTGTAGACAGAGGTCCCCAACGTCCGGTCCACGGCCTGGTGCTGGTCCGTGGCCTGAGCTGGATCAGGCTGCAGACAGAACTCCCACCCCACACCCACTTTGCCCTGCCTTCCCCAACCAGTCTGTGGGGGTGAAAAAGGTTGGGGACCTGTGCTGTAGACCATCTTGACTGCTGCCATTGATTTATAAAGCTCGGCATCCTTGTTCCTGCTGGCGAGGCAAGAATAATATTGTGCAGCAATATCAGGCCATTTTCTGGTGTTTTGAATCGTGGACATACAATATAAGGACAATATCCCACATTCAGAAACTGGAGGGTTTTTGAAGAACTGAATTATGTATGTACTTTCAGCTAGTATTATGTATTATGTATGTATTGAATCGTGGACATACAATATAAGGACATTATCCCACATTCAGAAACTGGAGGGTTTTTGAAGAACTGAATTATGTATGTACTTTCAGCTAGTTTAAAAGAAAATTACTGCTTAATTCCAATAGTTGGCTTTTCCATAAAATGGGAAAATTTGGACTGTTTGTTTCTCTATATGCTGTATTTAAAATGGAATTCTTCAGCCTGCCCCAGCTAATTCATGTTTCAATTGCATCCAGCTGTTTAAATTCCACTACTCAAAGATTGCCTTGATTCCCTAGTGCAGGTATTCCATCTTCGTTGTTCCAAAAGACTATTTACAGCAGAGGTTAGGCCAGTGATTGCTAGGATGGAAAACTCATTTCTCAGCCTGGCTTTTATTTACACTCTTATTAAAGATCCTTTAAGATTACTGTAGTGGCTGCAGTAAGCATTTGGCACCAAGCCAAGCAGGAAAATTACCATGTTGATGAAAGATGGGTTACTTCCATTTTAACCTTTCACTGTTCTCTCCTTTCCATCTATATTTGCATGAGGAAAAGCGATTATTGCACAAGATAGAGGAACAAAGGGATAAGGCAGGCTTTGGCAACTGAACTCTCCCAAGAAAAGCCAGTAGAATGGCACTGATTTGGAAACAAGATACTGTTTTACGGATACGTAATTCACTTTTAACAACTATTAGAAATTATTTTAGTATGAAGCACTGATGCCACTATTGCCTGGGTTGAGATATGAAGACACTGAAGCTGTGTAAGCAACAAAAGGAAATATACCAGGAGGAAACACACTGAACTGCGTTGTAAATAGTAGAGTAGCTTTTACCAAACCCTTGGAAGAGATTCATGGCACAGTAGCATCCTTTCAATAAGGAAGGTGATGATTCTTCCTCTTTTGGTGGAACATCACCACCTGCCCTCACAACATCAAACAGATGCTCATTGTGCAAAACCTCCAGCAGAGTAACCATGTTAAGGCCTCACAAGATTATAGGCTAAGTACACACATCAGCACGTTTGACAATGGCAGCATTCTTGCGGCCTTTTGGCACATCTCTCTGGCAGCAGCTTTTATAACTCCAACAGAAAATACAAGGAATGGGTTTAAAGTTGTATTTCTCCAGTCAAAATGTTCATAGTCTTGCACCCTCTTAAATACACAGTGAACATTCAAACTACATCATTATACCACTATTTTTATTAATATAAATGTTTAGCCTTTTTGTTTCTTCTACAATCTGTATTATTACTGTTGTGATATTATTAAATAAACCTGAAGAACAGAACTAGTAGTTTTGAGTTTCTGATTTTGGATCATCAGTCAATTCTCAGGAATATGTGTTACAACATTCGCTAATATTTATTCTTAAACAATTATATTGCCTTCTACCAATGCAAGTTCTCCTCATACAGCCTCCCCTGGCCTGGTATGTTCCTGTCTCAAACTATAGTTCCCGTCATCCCCAGCAGTAAAGCCATGCTGATATGCTCTTGGCAATTGTACTACAACATACCTGGAAGACAGCGAGTTGGGGAAATTTGCCTTCATTCAGTTTGCAGTAGCCAAAATCCAACTGGAGATAAATCACACATGTAAAGGCAGTAACACAGCAGTTTTCCCCTCCTATCTGCATGATCAGTTGTACATCTGGCCCAGTTTGCAGCCATTGTGAGACACGACGTGCAAAGGTGAGTCTGGCGGGGGGGGGCAGAATGCTTACACAATCAACATTATGGGATCACATAAGCAAGCAGGATTTTGGCCAACAAAAGAGGATAAGCTGTGTTAAAGTCATTGATTGTAATTTTATCCATATACAGAAACTAACAGCTTTTTGTTCAGAAGGTATTTCCACAAAACTTCACAAATACAATTCTGCCCTAAATTATTCCATTTTAATACAGTCAATGAAGGTATTAACCACTGAGTGAGTCCTGCTAAAGAATGGTAGTTTTCAAAATTACCTAAATGGTTTTCTTTCTTATTCCCACTCTGTTCCTTCAGGAAGGACAATAATATCTTGCAAAAGTGCTCACAAAAAATCTAGGCTTGCTTTCATATTTGCTATCCCTGAAAAAAAGCTCACAAATCCATCTCAAATAAACAGCCAAAATAAGTTTTTATTTTTTATTATTATTTACAATTTCATTTTAAAACTTTGTTGTGCATACATTTTTCCAGTTTATTACGTTGCACAGAAAAGTTTCAAAACACAAAATATATCCCTTTGCTAAACATTTTGTCCTCGGGTTACAAAAAGTTTGACACTTCACAGTCACAACGCTCAAGTATATTGATCCAAATCAGTTTTATCCAACACAGTCTTTTCATTGTTTGGAATGCTCAGCCTAGAAAAGAATACATTCTTTTAAGTAGTCACCGTACCAACAAATGAAAGAAGAAAACGGCAGCTGCTGAATAAAAATGAAAAACAACAGAACAAAATAAAATGGAGGTTGTCAGGGGAAAGCCTTCAAGTATAATGTAGGAAGAATTTGGCAGAATGATCAGGCGGGTATTTGGCCACGATCTATAACATTTATTTGACATCACTATCATTCCAGAAAGCAAAATGATGAGGAAGAGAGTAATTTTCATAACAACACAAGATGCAAAACACACAAGTTCATATGCAATGACCAAGATAAATAAGATAGACTGGTAGAGTTGTAGTGTACCCTCAAACACAAGAATCAAAGCTCAAAGAGAAAACATAATATATTATTTCCAAGATGTCATGGAAAGAGGTCCTGTTCCCAGTTTGCCAAACCTTGTTTTCTTACATAACAACAGAAAATATTTTTATTGGATGCCTAAGATCACTTGTTCTAAGTGTTTTATGCTTATGGCTTTAAATTGCAATTAAAATCTCTTCATACGCTCCATGTATTAAATGGGAGTTCTTTCTTAGATTGTTTGATTAAAGACAATATCACAAGTGTGAGTAATGATTAGGAATAAGTTGCAAGTATTCAAAGACTAATTAGCCTGACGAAGGAAATGTTGGGCTACAGCTGTAAAATCTATTAGAGAAATTTCCCATCATATGTATGAAATAGAGATAAAAAGAAAATGGCTCAGAAGCTTGTTCTAGATTTTATTTTATTTTATTTAGAAACAGAGGTTGATGAAAGAACACAAGCAAATAAACAATATCTCATGTGCAGTTTGTAAGATTATGTGGAGTTGGTCAATCCCACTGAGAAGTTTTACTCTGCCATCTAGCACATGACTATCTTAACTACACCACAAGAATAGTGAATTTCCTCTACTTTTTATCTCATTCAATTGATTTTTTGCTTAAAAATTCTTCCAACTGGTAGAAACAGGCACTATGAAAGACAGAGCTTTTCCAATTCCCTTCAGACAGGTTATGCTAAGAATTGGTCATCAATACTATTGAAGTATATTGTGGTACAATAATAATTTGTTCAAAATACCATCTTTCTCATCTGTATTGGAGATTCTAGATTGTTACCTAGTAACTTTTATCAAGTAAACACAACAAAAACCTGTAATCTGGTTACTCTTAAACCTAATTTTTCACAGTGTTTTGGGTTATACAATACTTAAAGCAATAGCAAACTGTCATAATGAAAATGATTTCAGTAGTATTACAGTTTGCATAATTGTTTGCTGAGCTTGGCAAATTTCATCTTGTAGCTTAGTAATAAAGCATGCGAGATCCAACCATGACCTGCCGAACTCACAACCTACAGGTCCTGGGGAACATAAGGTACACAACCCCTTATAATTTACAGGATTTCATTCCAGAGGACTGCAAGCTCTGGAAAGAGGCTTTTGAAGGGCCATTCATGCCTATCTGGATTCTAGTTATAGGTTTTTATTTGCTCAGCTGGAAAATGCACTGCTGCATCTCAAGTATCAATGTCTAAAACAAGTTCTGAACTCTTTCATGCAGAGAAATGGTAATAGCCAAATGAACTCTGGTCTGTACCTTAAGATGCAACTTAGATTTCTGGATTCATTCAAAGCATATAGTTTTTGATACATACAAATGTCTACATTTTCTTTAACAATTCTGAGCAGGGGGTGTGACTGCTAGAAGTTATCTGTAAACAATATGTCATTACGTTGTACAAAAATAAGATGATTTGGTCTGGTAGTTGGAGCTGCCAGATACCAAACAAGAAACACCAGGCCTAATGCTTTATAAAACAGGTTCAATCTTATGACTGAAAATGAACATTTTGTCATAATCATCATTGTTACTATTATTTTACTCTGACACTATTCTGCTGCTTCTTAAAATCTCTAGGACTACTTTTGATGGTGAGGCTAAAGAAATATTTCCCACTGCACATTATGTAAATTAAATGACATTTACAAATTGTACCACAAATCAGGAAGAAGCAATACAGCACCACACAGAACACTATTTCATTTAAATGTTTCTGGCAAGTGCCATTTTTTTCCTTACTTAAAATTAAAGATAACAATCTGTCTCAGTGATATATCAATGCCATTCAATTGTTGCTATTGGTTGTTCTAAGCCATTCAATGTCCAGATAAGTTGCAGAGCTGTAATGGAGGCCACACTCAGATGTAGTATGACCTTGTGAATATACTGAAACAAACACTGAATCAATAGTGTTTCTGTACTGGCAAAACTACTTTTATTCTGGATGAAACTAATAGCAGACCTTATTACCAAAAATACTCTACTCTACTGCATTGTATTTTACCTACAACTATGGTGCCGTAAGTAGGAAATGTATTTAAGTCCTGTACAAGAGCGTATATGTCCAGTTATTTAACAGTGAAGAAAAAGAATACTGAAAGAATTTCACTTTGAATGAAACATACATGATCAAGGCTTCTTTAGGCAAATATGACAGAAAGTGTCATGCTGATCTGAACATACAGTTGAAATCAAGTATAGTAATACATGGAAGATAAATTTTAGAAGTACTGTTGATTTATGTAAAAATTCCATTGATTTTATGGAATTTTGTATTTCAGAAATGTCATGTCAGAAATATGTTATTGCACACCAATTTAGTTCATGTCAGAAGCTAACAGGTATTCAATTTCAGATTGAAATCTATGCAGTATTAGCATGTTCAAAGAAAAAGTGGAATGCAAAGGTGACATACAAAGCTTAATGTGGTGAAGTAAATAAAATGCCTGTTTCAGTAAAAATATATAGTATATCATTTATTTTGAGGCTAATTCTGTTAAAATGGGGAGAAACGTAAAAATAGAAAATTATGTGCTACTCTCTATCATAGACAACTTCTTTTCTGAGATGGTAACAATTCTCAGATTATTCATCTGTTATCCATTATTTTTACCAGTTCACTTTTTCAGCTAGCTTATTTCTGTAGTTCTTTACAAAGGAAGTAATACCTGAGGAGCCAAACTCATAATCACCTATACCCAATTGAATGGAGTCATTTGGAAAGAAGAAAATTACTCTCAAAAAAACCCACCATAGAAGAGATTATGTATGTACACGCAAATGTAAAAGCCTTAACTGAATCTGTTTCTTACTGGAATGTTTGCTGTGATCTATTATAATGCTATATTAATGGACAGAGGACACAGGTACTGGAAAATAAACAAGCTGATGAGTCTCATCTTTTTTTGCAACAGCTTTTCTATATCATCTGGGTTTACAATGTTAAATACTGCTATCTGCCAGTGAATATCAACAGAAGCAGTAAAAGCAATTAAAGCAGAAAACATGTAGTCAGAAAGAACTTTATCTTCTGAAGAAAAGCTCTGAAACACCCCAGTAATAGTTAAGAATAAATTCAGAAGACAAACATTGCCAAGTATAACAAACAAAGCAGTACCTAAACAACAATCCTTTCAACAGGATATATGTAGATGAGACAGAAGCATTCAATGAATGAAAAATGTATGGTGCCAAAAAAAAATGATTTTCAAGGAAATCCTCCCAGTCTGCTACATCATTGTTAACCCACACACACACACAAAATCTTAACAAGAAACAATGCAAGAATACATTTCTCAACCAACATTTCTCTATTTCCTTAGGCAACCTTATTCAAAGGTGTTGGACCAAATCCAGAGAAAAAGTTTGCTTTGCCACCTGAACATAGAAAAGGAACTATGACACCCAGATTTTTATAACATTGTAAAAGAGCTAAAAGCTTGAATTCATGTACATAAATAAAACCTTTCAGAAGTTCTCCACTGAAACATTAACAGCTTTTACACAAATGTTGTATTAGGCTTTCTTCATCTTAATACCATATACATTATATTTGTTCTAATAGTATCTGCTGATTTGGAGACTGAATGGATAATGGCTACTTTACCAGCTTCAAGAACAGTATTCCCAATTCACATCTCAAGCAATATTTCAGGCTACATTAAACTGGGAAAGATAAATTCTATCAGAACACAAAAAGATCCTCACCAGGAGGGACATTAAAAAGAAATTACTAATATACTAGCAGCATTAAAGTTCTGGTCCTGATATGCACCAAAAACATAAATCATATACAATTCAGCCCCTATATTTCAAGTAGAAATAACTGAGTCCAACCAAATTTACAATTTTATCTGTTAGAGATACCTTTCTCATTTCTGAATAGCCTGTCTTTTCAAAAGACTATTACTAAAAAGCACATCTTCCCTATTACCAGTATTGGTGCCGGTTTTACAAGAGTTTATTTCCATGTATTAAAGGAATGACGTAAACAGAAATGTCATCTCCTGAGCCGAGTCTATCATTGGATATCCTCCAGCCTCTGTCCTTCAGCACTCCTCTGGCTCGCATTACCAAATCCTGAGCTGCTAAGGTGTACCTGTAATAGGTAAAGAAAAATAGCCAGAGATCACAGATTATAGAAAGATTTAAAACTTTATTTCTGGCTAGGAAGATGGAAGAACCCAACCATCTTTTCTGAGAATTACAACTCAAGACTGATCACATGAAAGAAGACATAAGTTACATGAAGATGAATAAGATTTCAGCCACTGAGCAACTACTGAAAACATCTATGCTTTGTTGTGTGTGTGTTTTTTTTTAAGATAAATAATTTCAAAATAAGTAAAGAGCTTGTTAAATAGCCAAAATGGAGATAGGTAAAGGTAAAAGGTAAAGGTTCTCCTTGACAATTTTTGTCCAGTCGTGTTCGACTCTAGGGGGCGGTGCTCATCCCCATTTCCAAGCCATAAAGCCAGCGTTTGTCCGAAGACAATCTTCTGTGGTCACATGGACAGTGCGACTTAAGACAGGGAACACTGTTACCTTCCCACCAAGGTGGTCCCTATTTATCTACTCTCATTTGCATGCTTTTGAACCGCTAGGTTGGCGGGAGCTGGGACAAGCGACGGGCGCTCACTCCATCACGTGGATTTGATCTTACAGCTGAAGATCTACAGACCTTACAGCACAGAAGCTTCTGCGGTTTAACCTGCAGCGCCACCACACCCCCAAAATGGAGATAAACATACAGGATAGTAGTCAATTGCCCCACTACCCCCACAGGTACTTTGTTGCGCACTCTTAAGACTGACTGCAAGACTGATCACACAACTGGTCATGCAACAGGGAGTTTGCTAGCAGAGGCAGGAGATACTTGGCAATTTCCCTTCTGCTCCATTTTTAGGCAACTGAATACTAGCCATAATAGTAGTTTCCACCTAGAAAATACATACCCAAACATTACCTACAGCAACTCCATATCCAATTTTTACAAGGTTTTTCTCAATTTCTCTCTTGACACTTATGTATGTGTCACTCATAAGCCATTTATTTCACTACCCTTGTTTCCACTGATTTGGGCTTTTGGCAGTCCTTCTTGCCTTAATGCATACAAATTCATTATAATTTTCCAGAAGATGACCAAAATTGTTTGCACTTTAATGTGCATATTTAGGGAATAATAATATGCTTAAATGTCAGTGTATCTATTTAAAACCAGCACTTATGAATTATTTGTTCACTTACATGCCATTTGCAGTTTAAGAATACTTCCTTCCTAATACAGCTACCATTCATAAGCTGATGGCAAGTCAAATACACTGGATATACTGTATTAGTATACCCTAGCCATGATTTCCCCATGGAGTAATTTCAAAAGTTATTGAGGGATGGGAGATGTAATACATGTATCACACCTACTATTATGCAGACATGCATCTTTGGTGTACAAGTTTCTTATGTGAAAAGACAGATGAGAATCACAAATCAGAGAACATTTATAAAACAGTGGTATCTGTATCTAACTCAGAAATAAACCCACTTGAGTTGATAGGATTTATTCTCTGGTAAACATGCCTAGAACAGCAGTTCTAGTCAGCATATATGCAACAACTGGATGTCCTAAATTAACCTGTAATTGACAATCATTTCTCGGTTAAAGACGTGAATCATGCCTTCTGCTATTCAGAAGGGCGTGGATGGATGGGTGTTAAAGAGACTATAAATGCTTCCCGATATCAAAGCTATACTTCATTTTAGTGCAACATGAATCTATTGTATCATATCTTTTGTTCAAATAACCTAATGAATGGTGCTTTCCCTCTTGCAATCTATTAGGTATTCCTGAACTGATAGTATGTTCTACTGCAAACTTTTTTTTGTAAGGTCCACGAGTATTTCCATTCAACTCTGCCCAATTCTCTTCTGTTGTTTTTTTTTAAAAGTGTATGGTAATCCTCAGGTTCATTTTTGTTAAATGCACACTTGAAGATGGTGTGACTAAACAGGAATTATTCCATTGTCTTGTTCTATCACTTTCTTCCTACAGTGGAGTCACAGAGTCATAGAGTTGGAAGAGACCAAAGGGCCATTGAGTCCAACCTCCTGCCATGCAGGAACATCCATCAAAGTACTCCCAACAGATGGCCATCCAGCCTCTGCTTAAAAACCTCCAAAGAAGGAAATTCCACCACCCTTTGAGGCACCCTATTCCACTGCCGGCCAGCTCTGACCATCAGGAAGTTCTTTCTAATATTCAGATGGAATCTCATTTCCTGTACTTTGAAACCATTGCTTCGTGTTCTAGTGTCTGGAGCCCTGGAAAACAAACCTGTCCCCTCTCCAACATGACATCCTTTCAAATATTTAAACATAGCTATCATGTCCCCTCTCAGCCTTCTTTTTGTAAGGCTAAATATTCCCAAATGCCTAAGCCACTCATCGTAGGACATGGCTTCCAGACCTTTGACCATTTTGGTCACCCTCCTCTGGACACGTTCCAGGTTGTCAACATCTTTTTTGAACTGAGGTGCCCAGAACTGGACACAACAGGTGAGGTCTGACCAAAACAGAAAAGAGATCAAATTTCCCTTGATCTAGACACTATACTCCTACTGATACATCCAAAAATCGCATTGGCTTTCTTGGCAGCCGCATCACACTGCTGACTCATGTTCAGCTTGTGGTCTACCAAGACTCCTAGATCCATTTCACAGGTACTGTTGTCTAGTACCTGTGAATGCAATGCTTGGTTGTATTAGGGCAGAAAGAAGAGAAGGACTCTACCATTTATACCACATTCTGACATCAAAAGAGTTTAGGAAAGGCAGGGTGATTTGCCCCGAATTAGTAAACAGCTGTTTACAGTGGGGCCTCGCTTAATGATCACCTCGTTAAATGACGAATCCGCTATAGTGATTTACCAAGACTCCTTTAATGGGAGAAAATCGCTTTATGATGATGGTTTAAAAACAGCTGATCGGCGGCTCTCAAAATGGCCGTCCGCTGTGCAAAGTGGCTCCACACTGTTTTTAGGATGGATTTTTCACAAGACAGGCACCGGAAAATGGCCGCCCTATGGAGGATCTTCGCTGGAGGATTAGGTATTTAGCCCATTGGAACACATTGAGCGGTTTTCAATGCGTTTCAATTGGGTTTTTTCCCCCGCTTGACGACGATTTCGCTCTACAGCGATTTCGCTGGAATGGATTAACGTCGTCAAGCGAGGCACCACTGTATCTAAAACCTATCAAACAAAGTGTTATTTAAGCTCCATATTATTTAAGCACATCAAGAGAAGATAACAGGAACACAGGAAGCTGTTTTATACTGAATCATACCTTTAGACCACCTAGCCCAGTAGTGTCACCATGACTGGCAGCATTTCTTTCTTTTTTTTAATTAACTGTTACCAAACAACTATACAACAACAGGGAGAGGGAAACAATGAGATTAACAAAACGCAAAACATATACACAGGGGTGAATTAGCTTTCGTACAATATCTAAAAAGCTCTTGACTTCATGACTGTGATGTAATAATCTCTAATACATTCTCTACTCATATCTGTTTCTGGGCCCAGTCGTAAAACATTTTCCAACTTTCCTTAATATATATTCTTGAGTTCTCACATAGAGTCTCTGATAAGCTATCCATTTCAGCAATATCTAATAACTTTTAAAGTAAATCCTCTTTCTACGGAGTTTCTTGCATTTTCCACCTCTGGCCCCAGATCAGACTGGCAGCATCTTTCCAGGATTTCAGCTGAGAGCCTCATCCTGGATACTAGCAATGAACATGGGACCTTCTCTTTGCCAAGCAGATCCACTATTAAGCAACAGTCCTCTCATGCAAACAGTGACACTGCCAGTCAGCGTTGACAGTACTGGGCTAGATGGCCTAAAAGTCCAATCCAGTATAATGCAGTTTCCTATGTTCCCAACTGTTATATTCTCTTGGTGCCCTTAGATAACATGCAAATTAAGTAGCATATCCTTTCAAAATGTCTTTAAAAGCCACCTCCAGTCATACCTTATTTGTTTTTTCATCCACCCTTTCCAGCTTGAACCTACACTCAGTACCAGCATCATCTAGGAGCAAACACCTTTTCTCTACAGGGCAATCCTATCATACTGAAGGCAAGCATACTGAAGAAAGGCAATTGATATAATTACAGTATCAAGAAAGGGCTGGGCAGTCCAAAAGATATCCTTGTCAAAGAATATAAATGGTCAATGACAAACCTGTGAGGATCACCAGGGTCACAGTTTGACAGGAAGTTAGTGATAGCTTCTGCCACTTCTTCATTTAATAGGACATCCCAGAGACCATCTGTAGCTAAAATCAGCACATCATCTGGCCCGTGCTCATACTGGAGAAGGTCATATACTCTTACCTGAAAACAATATTTTAAAAAGAGAAGGAAAGGAACAACAAAAGATTTTACTGAATGGGTATCGTGAGTTTTCATTACTGGAAAAACAACCTAATGTCCTTGGCAAGTAACTTCATGTGCAAGTAAACAATGGCTTCGCTGCACCCCTGCACACCTAGAAACTCTTCCCCTCAGAAAAATGCAGGAACTGGAATCTCCTAAAATAATATTCAGCCCGCAAACCTATCATGCAGGAAATGACATTACAAGCAATTCCAATCTATTTTGATAGCTTGCCCCAATTTAAGACTAGATTCCCTGCTTCAAAACCAATGCAGTGGATGGACCAACCCCTGAAAATCAGCTAATCAGCCATTTTTACCTTTGGGGGGGGGCATGGCCATAAACCCAATGTGAAATACAGGCTGAATCAGGATTGCAGAAGTTACATAACAAACCTTATAAAGTGGTGTGTGAAGAATTGTTTCCCATCTGTGGCCCCCCACCTTCAAATGTGCCAGGGCCTCCCCAAGGAGCCATATGGCTGAGCTAGATGATAGTCAAGTGAATTTACTGCCACAAGCCCTGACTGATCAGCCAGAAGCCACTGAAAGTATAAGATAAAAATCTAAGACTATACAAGTTTGGGGGTTTTTTATTGGGGGGATAGGAACAACTGAAAGTATCCTTAGTGATTAATACTAGAATATTTATCATAGTCCCATGCACAGATTTATGATATGACAAGTGCTCTCCAACATCTTGTTGACTATGGCTTCTTAGAATACACTCTAGCTGAGCTGTCAGATTACATTGAACCAGCATGAATGTGAGTCACTTTATTTCCATGTGCATTTTCTAGTTGTGTTGTACTCCCAACTGTCAAACCACCTGGCTCCTTGATTTCCAAAAATGAAACTCTCAGGAGTCCTTCTAAACTACCAGCTGAGCACTTTACTAAATCTAGCAACTCTTTAAAGTAAGTAACTTCATCACAGCAAACAAGGGGAAATTATTATCTGGAGTAAGATTCAGAAACAGTACACTGTAGGAATGAGGCTTCCATTTGTTCTGGACTACCAATTCCCAGGCTCCACCAAGAATTCCCCTAGGGAGAATCCTGGAAGCTGAATCCCCAAATTGTAGTTTTCATGCATCCACATAGACCTCTGTTGCCATTGTAGTGGCTTTTCAAGGAGGAGGAATGCTTCCAGTGGCACCTGGGAGTGGTGCATGGGTTTGTGGGGCCCTCAAGGAAGAATGGGACAGGTACATACACGGCCTATTCAGCTTCTCAAAGAACTACCCATCTCATGCTCTCTTGAGGCTCCCACAGACTTTTGCACCATTGCTAAAGAC